CTATTAAAGAGATACATGTTAAATATAAATTCTTAAGAGCGGTAAAAAATGAAAGTATCATCTTCGGGGATACACATAATATCAATAAAACAAAATAATAATTTATTTGGTATTAAAATAAAAATATTGGGGCAGCGGAATGGCAATAATTGCGAGTGCGCGGCATCCTCCTCACTCCGCGAGATAACGCCTTTTTCCTGTAGGCCTGCGGTGTTTTCTGTTCTCGGAGAAGGAGCCACGCAATAGAGTTCTCGCCATTGGTCAAATGGGCGTGGTTTTCAAAGCAACCCCACAAACCACCTTGGAAATCGCAGGGCATTTTAACGCCACCTCGCGGGTCGCACTGGGTACAGTGTTGCCACCTTGAGTTCATCGGTTTTTTATTTCATTTGCCTGTGGGAGATGATTGTATTACCTCCTGGAGTGATCTGTGGGTGTACAGTGTAGCAGATCACTACAACTCGCTTTCTCCCCTTCATCCCTCCCCTTTTCCCCCTTAGGAAATGAGTCTGTAGCACCGTTATAAGAAAGAAAAACTCTCGCAAGATAGGAAAAATAGCTCACTGCCACCACCCATTTAATTTACGTATGGGTACGTTTAGTGTAATGGTTGTGAGGTGATAGTGTAAAGGAAGAGTGTAGGGAACGGAAAGACAGGGAGTGTATGTGTGTGTGTGAGAGAGAGAGAGAGAGAAAGGTGTGTACATGTAGTGTGCGAGAGTACGGTAGACGTGTTCTTTAAGCCGAGAGGAGACATGTGCGGGGGAAGATCTCCCGGACGCAGATTGGTCCCGCGATGCTTTTACGTATTATGATACCGATCTAGTCATTCCTTCGTTTTACAATCCTCATCTTACTCATCGATCACAGTACTGCGAGGGGTCTCTAAACAATCTTAAAAATACTGTTCATTTATTAAAACAAAAACATAAGAATATTAAGAAATAAAACTAAAACGGACTTGAACATAAAACAGACGAACATAAACATAAAACAGACGAACATGAACATAAAACACTAAGGTAAACCTAGAACACGGACATAAAACACTAAAAATGAACGAAAACACAAACGTAAACCACACTAAAACACAAACGTAAAACACACTAAAACACTGATAAAACAAGAAAAAAATAAAAACACGTAAACGCAAGGACACATTAAAATACTTATGAGAGGCACCGGTCTTATGAAATCACTTAGCTTTACTAAAAAAAATCAGAAATGTCTCCTGATACCTCAATTGATAATTCTCACGGCCACTTAGCTCTTACGGAGGCCCATTCCGGGGTTCCTCACAACGTCTGGTTCCTTCTGTGACCCAAAGAGCAATCCCCTTATTCTTGCCTCTCCTGTTTCTTTTTGACTCTGTGGAGCGAAAGAGTAAGTGAGTAACTGAATCTCTCGTTATTAATTTAATGTTTTAAAATATGCCATTAGAAAATTAAAATTAATAAAATAAATACTTAAAAGAATCACAAAAGAAATAAAATAATAAATAGTGAATTAATTAAAAGATAAAACACGTGATTCTTCCTCGTTCACTTTTTCGGCCAATTCTTTTATGTATATTGGTTCCTTGCATTTAGGTGTGGAATAATAAAACACATTTAAAAAGAATGTTTAAAACAAAATAAAACAAAAATAAAACAATAAAAGAAAGGAGGAGGAGTGGCCGCGCTTTCCTTCCCTTGTGCCCCGTTTTCTATGCAGGCGCGCAGCCTCAGGGCGAATTCGCGGCATCCTCACTCGCGGAGATAAACACTGCTAGTTATTGCCCTTCGATATATTTTCCGATTTCTTTTGCGCCTGCGGGAGAGTGATAGTGAGAGGGTTTTTGATGACTTTATTTACGTCGTGGTCACGGCGAAAAACACGTGATTCACGACAACTCCTCCCCCTACAAGCGCGGCAACTCAGGGTTGGCGTGCTACGGACTGCAAAACAGCTGCTCCTGCGGCATTTTTGATGCTGGAATGAGGGCATTGGCGAGGCGTACAGCTTACCAGGCACAACCAGGACTTAGACCTCGAAAAGGAGGGAATTATCTTAATTAGGTTTTACACAGAATTAATTCATGTAATTTAGTGAAGCAAAAGCGAAAAGACCATTATGGTGCACACAACCTGATGACTTACTCCCCATAAGTAAACTTTAACTCACGACCGTGCTGGAGTGCATACTACTCATCCTTCATCGGTGTCCGATCCTCCACGTTGTGCCAGCCCAGAGGGACCAGGTTACAGCAAGGGTCGCCAGTTGCAAAATGACAGGCTTGTTGCGGTCATTCACGACCCAAATCTTAACCCCTTTCTCCGCTCACGTTAACCAAACTACGCGGTATCAGAACCTGCGCGGTCAACCCTGTTACCATGGCAATCATCGTACCTGCCTCGTTTGACACGAGTCCCGAAATGAACTTCCCTGTTTTCGGAGGGCTAACAACCGTCTCCAGACAAAGTATAAGCATAGTACATCAGAACTAGCATCTGGCATTGGCATATGACGCATCGACAAAACCTTGATTGTCAATGATGGATAATTACTATAGCTTAGCTTGATCTTACACCATTCAATGTTACATAATTCCGCATGGGAGAGTGATACGCAGCAATCGAAAGTTAAACCGGCGTTAGGAAGTCCATTCCAAGGAATACACTCCGGGAAAGGTTACATCCTGGGGTACTATGTCAACAGTATGATTACAGGTGATCGCCTCGCTTAGTCGAAAGAGTAAGTTAACATTTTGCAAGGTACGAAAGGAGTGGCCTGAGGCTCCTCGTAACGGTACGGGAGGAAGGAAGAAATGAACGTAGACTTAGCTTTTCTTTCATGGACTCTTTTGATTAGAGGTACCTCGGAGCCTGTATCAATAAAACAGGTGCACAAAACCTGTACTGCTCCAGTAAAAACACTAGCGCAGTCAGTTAAACCTTTATTGTCATGATCACAGCTGGTAGGTATGAGCAGTGTATCCAACTTGCAAGATGACAAACATACACGTACGCGTGAGCGTGCACGTGATTGTGAGGTGAAAAAGCTGTAAGAAAATAAATCTTCACAATTTTGCAAATAAAAAGTTGTACACAAATAAAGTAAATGAATCATACAAATATCAAATAATATTAATACAATATGAGATAGAAATATTAAGAACAAAATCAATAGAAAATTATAAAATACTGCAAGACGAGCATATATGTAAACATTAAACAAACAAATGACTTTATGCCTAATTTCTATTTTCTTATGACATTTCCTGAGTTACTTATCCTGAGTTTATCTTAAAATACTCTTACCAAAAGATAAATTAGTAAAGACTCTAGTCATTTCAAAATGAATAAAGATAACACAACATTATTCTTTGTAATTAACTGAAATAAAAGTTCTTGGTAAAATATAAGAGTAACAATAGGAATGGCACATATCTTATTATATCACATAATTTTCAAGTTAGTATATCACGTAAAGAATAAAGACACACTTTTGTTATTTACCTAATATGCTATACTATTATATAACTTGGATTATTTACTATCTACAGTATTAAAAGTATATTGCCAATCACTTACAGTGTGCTAGGTAACCTTCATAAAAAACAAGAATAATTTAAAAGTCGCGCAGCACAAGGCGTTGTGGCTCTCTAGGGGCATCCTCGACAGATGTCACAGACATACACGCGTTTCACTGTAAGCGGCATGTTCGTAACAACTCTAACGTCACTTAGCCAACTTTACCATAAAGATCTAAATTCTAATTGTTATATACATTAAATCAAATAAATTTTAAAATGATACTAAATTCTTATAATATATATCAGACAAGGAATCTTTGATTCTTTATTACACTCCTGCCTGTGATATCAACAAAATTTGATATCACTAACCTACTAATACTGATTAAATGACAAATAGGAACTGAAATGTGACTTGTTCAAATAAAAAATAGCTACTTAGCACCAGAAACCAAAAGAATTAACTCTGAAATTGGTCTTGTGTACACAACTGGGTTTCCATCTCTCATAACCTTTAACTCCACTTTCCTTACTTTGACATCTTCACTTTGGATAGCTCTTACAACAATTCCATATGGCCATTGTGTACGACAAACACTTCTGTCTTTCAATAACACAACATCACCTTCAGTGAGACTAGGTTTTGCACAACACCATTTTCTACGTTCTTGGAGTGTGTGCAGATATTTTTTTCCAACGATTCCAAAATATTTCTGAGAGGCAGAAACACGTTTCCATTCTGTTTTCAAAAGGTCTTTTGTATCAATTTCTCCTACTGAATCTTCTACATGGTCTATTCCAACTTTCTGAGTAAGAATGGTGGCAGGTGACAAGATGAAAGGGTTTTCTGGATCAGTTGATACGTTTACTATTGGTCGATTGTTCACTATGGCACATACTTCTGCCATGAAGGTTGATAACACTTCATGCGTCAAAGTTTTATAAGGAGTTTCAGCTAGCATTGACTCTAAGATCTTCCGGCAGATTCGAATGAGGCGTTCCCATACACCTCCCATGTGCGATGAATGGGGAGCGTTGAAGATCCATTTAGTGCCTGTTTGGTACAGATGGTCTACTATCTTCTTTTCTTCCACATTTACTGCATCTATCTTGAGGCTATCAGTTGCACCAACAAAGTTGGTTCCTCGGTCAGATCTATACAGTTTAACTTTACCTCTGAGAGCTTCAAATCTTTTAAGTGCATTAATAAAAGCTGAAGAGGACATTTCTTCTACCAACTCAATGTGTATTGCTCTTGTTGTAAGACAAGTGAACAAAATAGCCCACCGTTTAGAATTTGCTGATCCACTCACGAGTTCTGCGTGTCGTTATAGTCCAAGGTCCAAAAGCATCAACTCCAACATTGGTAAAGGGTGGAGTATGTTCTAAGCGATCTGCTGGTAGATCACTCATCAACTGGACTTCTTTTTACCTCGTAACTTTCTACACTGGACACAGGAGTGTAAGATTGATGAGATCAACCGTTTCACGCCTGTAATCCAATATCCACCAGATCTAACAGCTCCTTCTGTAAGATGACGTCCTTGGTGTCGAACACTTTGGTGATAGTGACGTACTATAAGTGTAGAAATATGACTTTTACCAGGCAAAATGATTGGATGTTTCTGGTAACTTCCAAGACTTGATTGTTGCAATCTTCCGCCAACCCTTAACACACCATCTTCATCTAAGTACGGGTTGAGAGCCATAATCGAGGTAGATTTTGGAAGATGCATTTTTGCTTCAACAAGTCTAATTTCTTCTTTGTAAGTTTCCTTTTGAACTGCTTTGATCACAAATATTTCAGCTTTTCTGAAAGACTCTACACTTCTATCAGCTCTACCTTTAAATGATTTGGCACATGCACATCTCTGCAATAAAGCAACAGTATTTACTAGGCGATACCACTCAGAGAACCTTTCAAATCTGTGACACCAATTGATAAATTGTCAATCACACAGGTTTTAGCTGCCTTTACCAGAGCATCTGGCCTTACTTCCTTATCATCTTCTGGTTGAACTAGCTGTGGAGTTTCTTGAGCAAGATCATGACGCCTACTCAAGAATGTTTCAGGTCCTTTCAGCCATATGTCGTCACACGAGAAATCATTCACCATAGAGCGAGTTGCTCGATCAGCTGGATTCACAGATGTAGGAACATAATTCCATTGTTCTGGCTTAGTTGACCTGTGAATACGGTTCACTCTATTCTCAACATACACATAAAATCGTCTTGTTTGGTTGTGGATGTAGCCAAGAACTACTTTACTGTCAGTGTAAAATTTCACTATATCAATTTCTTCATCAAGGTTCTCAAGTACCACTTCACTAAGTTCTACTGCAAGTACTGCAGCACACAATTCTAGACGAGGTATAGTATGCCCATGCAAGGGTGCAATTTTAGCTTTCCCCATCACAAATCCAATTTCTGAACTGCCATCTTCGTGTTCAGTTTTCAAATATGAGACAGCAGCAATTGACTCTTTGGAAGCATCTGAAAAGACATGCAATTCTTTTTTGACTTCTGTGACAAGGATACTGGAACATACATTCTTGGTATTTTCAAACATTGTAAGGTCTTAATACGTCTTTCCAAACTTTCCATTCCCATCCAGTTTTCTGGTAGAGGTTCATCCCAATCAATAGTCCCAGATAAGAACTTTCGCAGAAGCAACTTGCCTAGAACTGTAAGCGGGGCTGCAAATCCTAGAGGATCATAAATGCTGTTGACTGTTGACAGCACACCTCTACAAGTGAAGGGTTTATCTTCTTCTGCAATCCTATAAGTAAAGATATCTGCTTGAAGATCCCAATATAATCCTAAACTTCTCTGCAACGGAAGATGTTCAGCATCAAAGTCCATGTCCTTCAAATCTTGAGAGATGTCGTCACCTGGCAAGGCTGACATGACTTCTTGGCTGTTTGAAACAAATTTGTGAAGTCTCAAATTTCCATAATCTGCTAGACCCTTCTGAGTTCTTGTCAGTAGGTTAATAGCTTCTTCAGTACTTGATAGAGATATCAGACCATCATCAACATAAAAATGTCGCTGGACAAATTTTGTGACGTCTTCACCATATGTACTTCCTGCAGCTTCAGCAGTCTTCTGTAGTCCATATATTGCTACTGCGGGTGATGGACTATTTCCAAAAACATGTCTGGTCATACGATATTCAATAAGTTCTTAACTTAAATCATTGTCTTTGTGCCACAAAAAACGAAGATAGTTTCTGTGTTCTTTATGTACTTCAAATGAATAAAACATCATCTCAATATCTGCTAATACAGCCACTCTGTTCTTCGAAAACGTAGAAGTACACCCAACAGAGAATTATTTAGGTCTGGACCTGTCATCAACACATCATTCAATGATGTACCTCTAAACTTAGCAGCAGAGTCAAAAACACACCTGATACGACTAGGTTTCTTTGGATGATACACTCCAAACACTGGAAGATACCAACATTCTTCATTTTCTTTCAAAGTGGTGCTATTTCAGCATGACCTCTTTCAAAAAGCTTTTTCATAAAGTCTAGGAAATGTTCTCTTTTAACAGAATTGAACTGAAGACTCTTGGCTAGGCTATTGGCACGTCTCACAGCCATGGATTTATTGTTCGGTAATCTTTTCTTTAAGGGCTTAAAAGGTAAAGGTGCACTCCAGTTACCTGCTGGTTCTTTGACAAATTCTTTCTCCATTAACTTCAAGAATTTTGTCTTCTGTGGATTTTCCAGGTTCGTCATCATTTTTGGTTCGGTGAAACACTGTAGAACCAATATCATTTTCCTTCCATGGTGTAAAACCACTGTGATATCTTGTGTCTTCTTGTACACATATACAACTTGGACAAGGCTTCAAGACTGATGGTCGACCATCAGGATTTACATATATTTTCCTTACATTCACATTCTTTGTTGCGTGATGCTTCCCCAGGCAGACTTCACCTACAATTACCCAGCCTAACTTCATCTTCTGGGCAAAGGGGTACCTGGTGGACCTGTTACTTGATCTAGTACATGGTGAGCTTCGGGTAGATCTCTACCAATCAATAATTGAATCTGAGCCTGATCATCAAGAGGTGAAATTTCTGAACCAATGTCTTTGAGGTGTGGATGAAGTCGAGCAATGTTGGGAGTTGGAATCTCAGTCCTATTATTAGGAAGTTCATCACATTCGATGACTGTAGGAAGGCTCATCTGTAGACTACCATCAACAGCTTGTATGCATAGTCCACCAGCTTTCCTTCCTGTCATAACTGAACGGCCAGAGCAACTAGTTATGATGTATTCCTCTGCCACAGAGCGAACATCAAAGAAATCTAAAAGCTCTCCTTTAGCTAAAGATTTGTTACTCTGATCATCTAATATAACATATGACTTCATACGCTTCCTCGGGTTACTCTCATGAAAAACGTAAACTGGCAAAATTTTAGCACAAGACTTTCCAGGAAATTCCTCACATACCCAGTACTCTTGTTGGTCACATTTAAAGCTTGTTCACGTCTGACTCTTTAACAACACTCTGCTCCGGCTTCTCCCTGCCATGAGCCTTAGTACTTGTCTCAGGAACAGACTGAAATTTCTTCAAATGCATAGCAGTGCAATGGTATTTACTTCCACAGTCTTTACAGGTTATGTCCTCTGGACAATCTCTACTTAAGTGGTTCTTCGAGATGCAACACTTAAAACATATTCTATTTTCTTTCAGAAGTTTCTTGCGTTCTTCTAAAGACTTTGACTTAAAGCTTTTACATTCATGTAGAGAATGGTTGGTCCCATGTATTATACATTTAAGGGCTTCTTCATCAGGCACTACAGTCTTCTTTGTAGTTACTTTAAATTTATCTAGCTTTGAAGTCTTGTCTATATGAGATTTTACTTCTGGCTCAAAATTAAATCCTGGATCATTATGGATTTGTGCAACGTCAGAAATGAAGTCTACAAAATAAGAAAAGGGTGGGAATAACACACCTTGTGTTTTCTTGTAGTTGGATGCTTTGTCTCGCCATTTTCCTTGTACTGAAGGAGGTAACTTGTTTATCACAGGGTTTATTCCTGCAGATGTGTCAAAGTGTCCAAACAGTTTCTCGTAAAGTGGATTTTCTTTATGCGACTGTACTTCGCAGAGAAGATCATGCAGATCATACAGTTTCTTGGGATCTCTGAACGTAACCTTAGGAAACTTTTCTAGTTTCTTCTTGACAGATGCTTCAATAATCTCAGGACTGCCATATCTATCTTCAAGCATCTTCCATATCAACTTGATGCACTTACTTGGATCATGTATATTGGAAGTCCTTATACTCTGCGCAAATTTGGACGACTCAGGGCCCAGCCACCGGAGTAAAAGGTCAACTTCTTCCAAAGACGTAACATGCAGATCTTGAATGGTCTGCTGAAAAGTAGTTTTCCAAGGCACATAAGACTCAGGACGATCATCAAATGGACTGAAACGTGCCAGGGAAAGTTCCTTCTTCAAAAGGAAATGCGACAATTCTCCACAACAACTGTTACTCACAGGATTAGCCTTGGCATCACTGGGCTGACTACGAAGAGGTTGTATGACAGGCATAGCTTGTTCCAAAGAAGGGTTGATCAAATTGGTACCTTGTTCTGATCTTCCACGTACTGCTTGACACGACTTAAAGAATCTGCTGCCTCTTGCTGCAGGAGTTCTTGTGAAAGAACTTTCTGTTGTAACTGTACACCAGGTATTCTACCTGAAATAGATGACAACTTATCACTACTTTCTTCACACACTACTCTGTACTCAACTTCAGCCAACTGAGCATTGCGACGAGACACACATAATTCTAATTCTGCTTCAATTTCTGCCTCCTCACACTGTAACTTTGCTTTTCTTTTTTTATTTCTGCCTCTTTCAATGCACTTTCAAGCTTAACTTTTG